CCGTGCCGCTGAGTGTATATTTTCAATATGTATGTATGTAATAACTGATAAGGTTATCTTAATCCGGTATCCCAGTGTTATGTAAATCTGTCATTTACCTCATTAAACCGTCAATTTTAATAACCACTACGTGCAAGCATTTGTGGTAATGGGTTTATCTATTGATGTCCAAATTGTCGTACATTATCGGTATGTCTGAAATTGAGACAAGCTTATCCCCGTGACCCGGCTGCCCGGGCGACGAGGATCGACGGTGATTGATTGGTTCGCCCTGGTAACGGTCATAACCGCAGCCATGGTATATTATGGTGCCATAGATATCGACGCGCGTTAACGTAATAGACCAGTAATTACACTGTTGAAACCATAGCTATAGAAAGTAGTTGAAATTCTGCGGATAGTAGATGTCATGTTGGTATATTTAACACCTTTCGTGTTAGTTTATAAGCTCAAAGAACTGAATTCATAAATTAAAGTTTCCAAAAAAATACAGTCAATAACATTTTCAGCTTGGAGCTTGAAATTGTAAACATCAAAACTCAGGTTGTTGCTTCACAACTCTTGTGTAAAGGAACGCCTGAATAGGGCAACATTAAGCTTCCCAAGTATGCACAATCCCCCTTTATAAACTTATAAGACGTGACAGTCACGGAACACCCTCTGGTATTTAAGGATCTCTCGCAACGTGAACAGATGGCGAGCCAACCCTTTGCGGCGGGTCCGTGGCCGAGTCCCCCAGTTTTCGACGCACCCGTGGTCGACGCCCCCGGTCAGTTAAATTCGATTTTAAGCAATTTTTAATCAAATGTACAGTCAGGCACAAAAATGTTTATAAACGAATAAATATTTATTAGGCCAGTAGAATTAAACACAAAAATGAATCTAATGAAATGAAAATAATTCCTACAAAAGTTTTTTGTTTCTTACTACTGCTGGTTTTGGGTTAAAATTTTGCTCCCATATTGCATAAATAGCGTCAAACATGCATAGTTTAGTATAATTATTAGCTTGTAAAACTTTTTTCGTTGACTGTACTTAGTGCAAAAGCCGAAAAAAATATGATATTAAATTTATTTAAATCGGGGGCGTCGACCACGGGTGCGTCAAATACTGGGGGACTCGGCCACGGACCCTTTGCGGCGTGATGAGCGAATGGATCGTGCGTGATTGATCGACAATCCGGCTTACGAGCTAAGTAATAACCTTATAATATCCTGCGTTCCTAATATTCTGTCCCTAAGGAACCCGAAAATATTATCTAGAGGATTTAGGCCGCCAGAAATATGTTCTTAGTATTATCATAAAATATAGTTAGGAAGCGAAACTGCAAATGACTGATTGATTGATTATCTAGCACCCTCATCACTGTCAAAATTCAGTATACTACTACCCACATATCTAATCTAATCTCAAACTTATGAAAGCTGAACGAAAATAGAAGCACTTTAGCAAAGGAACGCTGATTATGATGACGTGCGTGTCAAAATACTTTGATGTGTGCTTGCGCAATAGTAAACATGAAAATCAGACTAATGAAACTCAGTATAGAGATACACATAAGAAATTAAGAGCAAAAGTAAAACAGTATGATATCAATTCTAAAATTTTGCAGAAAATTGTTTAACAATTCAACTCACCACCCTAAAATTTGTGGCTTTGATAAAACAATTTGCGAAAGTTGATCGAGATGTTATCATAACTTCGTTCGAGAGTCAGAAGCTCTCAATTCCTTTGTCTTGTGATACTAATAAAACGATTCGAAAGATACATAAATTCTAAAGATTAATCAAACAATTTTGTTTAAATTTTACTGTATCCTTTATTCATTTGTCTCAAGTCCAGTCTTGGCAGTTTCCGCTTACTAATACAAATGCAAGGAAAATTCTGGCATCACCGATTTTTCTCGTATAGATTTTCCTAAACAGAAAATAAGATCGTACAGCTGCAGCAGTGTCAAATTCTTCGGCAAATTGATCGCACTATTCCTTCAGCATTTCTCACGTTTGCTCCTGGCATGCTGACAAGATGGCCGTAGATAAAGAGCTGTGCGCATAAATTTCGTAAAATGTCGTCTAACTTCTGACCTACATCTGAATACGGTCGCAGAGGAGTAGAGGCAGATGATTGTAGTGGGGGAAGGGGACTCATACATTCACACTCATACATCAAAACAACATAAGGTAAAACGAGTAAAAAACATAGCGTAGTTCCTGGCTGTCTCTGGCTGAAATTCTGTAGGGATTTTCAAATCATAAGCATTTTCAAGTTTACTACTCGTCTTTGTACTATAAAATGTCGTGAACAAAGTTCGGACTTCGGAGCCAAGAGTTACCTTGGGCAGCAATTTTGCTTTACGATAAAATAAAACCGAATCGACAAGTCCTTATTCATAACACTACTTGAAGATAAGGGTATGGAGAGCATCTGTGTTAGTTTTTGATTAGTTTTAATGCTATGAATTTTCGCAAGCCTTTCCTATACATCATATCTATCTGCCTTCCGTTCCGACACTATACGATTTGTGAAAGATTGTATTGATCACAATTGACCTCATGCTGAAAGTGGAGCTCTACTTTTAGTTTTGTGTGCTATGAGACTAACAGTCATTATTATCAAGAAATATTCTATCAACTTAAAGAGAAGTAGCGGATAAAATAAAGTTCTGAATCACAATATATTGAAAAACTGCCTTTTTTGGTGTATTCGTTTTTTGCTAAAATAAAAACTTATTTGTTATTCAAGGTTACCAGACATACTGATCTTTTAGACTCTTCTGTGTTTATAAAATATTGCTTAAGGCTATCATAATCGTCATTTGAAATTCTCAAAGTGAAAAGGTCATACAGTATCGCGAATGATTACGCAGTTAGACATTCAAACGCAAGCGAGGTGCAGTGTTTATAGGTTTGTTTAATTACGCCTTATAAAGTATTCGTCTAAACATAGCCCGCTGCAAGGTTACGGGCTTCGGCGCATTGTAGCACATTACCGACTGGTTACGTCACTTCACGGACCGATTAAAATGCTATTTTGTCTCCCTACCAGTTAGGTAACAAAAACTAACCTAACTGACGTAAGCCGCCAATCACCAAACAATTATCGAAGGACGAAACCGATTTGTTGCACAATTTGTTATGGAAAGAAATTTCTTGTTTTGTAAACTGCCATAGCTAGAAATAATCGACGTGTACCAATCGTGAAACGTGTCAAGGACATTGCATTGATAGATCTTTTGGCGTGGGCTCTACGAGCGGTTTATTTAAGTACTTGATGAATTAGCGTAAGAGATAGCTTGAGATCGATTTTGTCCTGAAGTGCCTTTTAATCTCCCATTAAAACTTTGTGAATCGTTGGTATAAAGCTCATCATCCCTAATCCTAATCTCTTGAATCTTTGTAGGTCAGTAGTATCAGCGAAGTTTAATTCGCTTCAACCGTAATGTTTCGCATTTGGAAGCTCCTCAAGCCACCTGCTCCACTTAAGCGGAGGCAGCGTCAGCGGGGCGGTTGCCAAGCCGCTGGGGCGCGAAGCAAACTCGAGCCGGCGGCTATGCGGACACTTCAAACCAGGCCTGACTGGAATTATCCGATGGCGTGTCTTTGGCAGGTTGGAAATTCAAATCGTACGGAGAATATCGTCCAGACACCTGCATCATTAACAACGGGCTCATTCACAAGCCATGACAGTTCGACCTCATGTATGAGTGACGCTTTCTTTATAGTCAAAAGGTGCCTTCATTTTATCACGACCACCTGTAAGATCTCAAAGACTACCGCCTCTTTGATGTTCATGAGCTACTTTCCGTGGCAGAGCATCTATTCGTTTGCCGCGCCCTATCCATCGAAAAGAGGTCATGACGGGACAAGTCGGACTCCGCTGGGATGCCGCTCAATTGATACATATTGAATGTGGGTGGTGCACTAGTTTCTTTATACCCTTCTTCATTGTGCCTATTGTTCCCAGTTATGATACCGCTCAGTTAGTTGATTTTGACTTTCAATGCCTCTCATCGCTCAAGTTTGTTGGGAGTTAATATTACTTTGTATCAACATCTTAATTGAACCCGAGGGTTAAACTTGTTCGCCTCGTTGGTCGTCTTGTCCGTGTTATTTATCTCGACGCGTCGCCGCTTCTGTTTCCATCATCGATCAGACTAGAGCTATCATTTATTATGGTATCGTATTTATATCTATTGTTGTATGTAGTAGACGTCTCACTGCAGTATTAACATTCTGGCAAATGTTTCTTGAGAATTATTTTATCTTATCATCTTTTTACTTCCTCAATGATTATCTGTCAAATACACTGCTAAATATACTATAGCTTTGCTCATGATAAAATGCATGAACTAAATAAACCTGCTGTAAATGTCGCTCTAAAATGATCTATAAATAAATGCATTTAAATTTATTTGTCTAACACATGCGAGCTAGGTATTAGACAAATCACAATTGTCATATTACCGAGTGTTTACCGAGAGCAAGTACTAGATTAATATTCATTGTGTTGATTGGTCGACGCAAATACCTGCATTGCTACATCGGCAAACGTTGGCCGCTACTTCCAATGTTGGCCTGAATGTTTGTCCCACACTACCATTTCAATTGACATCAGCACAAGCTACGAGGTGTGGTCTTCCACATACATAACTCGCACTTCACAGTGTCACACTGACTCACACTTAAACCTATTATTTCCAACGCGACCAAAGGCAGGAAATGTTTCAAGTTCCACCTTTGTTCGCTGGCCTCAATCTTGAAAACCATTTGGGGTTTTATGGTACTCGATTGGTCACAAATCGTTAAGATTCTATAATTTCCTATCACGCATAAAACCTCATTCATCAGTTTATTTTATTGAGTGTTCGATCGGTGTGCTGTGTTAACGAGCTTTAAGAATATTGTTTGGAATTTGAGATGTGTAAGATCTGTAAGTTGTAGCTCGCGTAACGCAGCATCCGTCACCAGTGGCGTCGTTCTAAACGTTGTTTTGTCACGCAGCTGTGGAGCCGACGTACCACTTCAAGGTGCTGGTGCCGTCGATGGTGGCGGGCGCCATCATCGGCAAGGGCGGCGAGACCATCGCGCAGCTGCAGAAGGACACCGGCGCCAGGGTCAAGATGTCCAAGTCACATGACTTCTATCCCGGTAAGTCACAATTTCTTTTTGATCTTAATAGCTTCAGAAAACAAAGTTGTTTAAACGTTTTAATTAATATTGGTATTAAAATTAAGTTACGTAGTAAAAAAACGCATAGCCATAATTAAAGGTAACAAAGCTCTATAATTAATGTTATCGAGCTGGCAAACGGAGCGTGGTGGACACAACCACAGTATAGTTGAGGGAGGTTCCGTAAGTCTCCTATGCACAAAACTAGGCATAAACATTTCAACAGTTCTGACTGGACACGCGGAGAATGTCTCATTGACCGAAAATTACACGTCCTAGACCGCAAGCCAAGAATTGGCGCACTATCTACTCTTAATTAGGATCAATTTGATTGCTGCTCAAAACCACGTACGTAGTAGCGCCATCCAAACGAATAAATTCTTATAAGTGCATTTTGATGCTCCTCCTTTTTTCTTTTTCCTGATATGTTAGGCTTAAGCTTAGCAGTAAGCTTGCCATTTGCTTCTGCTGTGTCCGAAGTCGACATCGCCCGCGTGCAATTAATATCGAATCAACGAAGGATTAACAGCAACTGCAGTCATCCGCGACTAGACCCCGTGTCAATGATTAATTTAATTATGTTAGTAGTCGCGAACACTCTAATGTTCTCAGTCCTCTACAAAACGAGGACAAGGATTTTAGGATTCAAATGTTTTACTCTGTCTATGACTCAACTCAACGTCTGATTAAAACAATGATTCGAGTACACGGATACGGAGTTGAAAATTACTTTCAAAAATAAACATTTACATTCACTCGTTTGAGGAATCCTCCCAAATCTTAGGATTTATCGCTGGAAAGAACCCTCGTCGCAATAATTTTCTAAATCTTAAGTCAAATGGGAGGAATTATTGGCAAATTCCTCCAAACTGCAAAAAATGCTTATACTTTGTTCTCGTACCGCCAGTATTTTCTTTATTGCCTACATTGATAAATAATTCATTAGTCAAGAAGACGACCTTTTGATGCTCATGTTTTTCTACATTAGACGGAAAAATATTATCATAATATATCTATCGGTTTATTGTATAAATTATTACGTATTTACTAGAACTCTATCGGTTTGCTAACACCCTTTTGTTTACGATTGCATTTAGATAAATATTTATCTCGTTTGTTTATAACAGAAGTCACGACATCAACTAGTTAGCATTAAATGCGAATGTTACTTTAAAGGCTATTTAATTAAGCCCGACCTACATCCACCATTGTTAGCTTCGGAAGCAATAACGCCACAGTCCGGCCGTAGCCAGCGGCCGGCGTTTGATCTCTTATTATACTGGCCACAGTGTAAAACCAAGCAGTAATCTACACACCACACATTCTGACATCTTGAAGCGCCATACAAGGTAGACTACGTTAGACCACAAAGAAAAGTAGACCTACTGATATTGTCCTGTATTGGTGTACTCGGCACAGGCCATATAAATTTTACTATATCACCGACTCGGCGATGTGGATTAAAGGATTTGAACAAAGGGGGCGAACCGATATCAGTTTTCGTGTGTATTTGTTTTACATACTTGGCGTTTACGTAAAAGTCAGTTCGTCTTTAATGACTTCATACTCATTCAGTCTTTATTAGGAAACAGTGAAAGTTAGTTTCGACTAGGCACAGCTAGACTTTATTGTTTTAGCTCCAAAACAGGCAGCGTGGCCATGTTTGATCAAATAAATTGCCACGATACTAGGTCGTAAGTGATCATCTTTCTAAAATAAGTGTCACTAACTAACCAGTAGGATTTGGTACGACTGTTTTTTTTTTTTGCATTTTTAAAGCAAAAATAATTTATTGTTACTGTTTCTCTTTCTCTTTAATTTTATATCTTTCATAACCTGTACTCACATAAGTAACAGAATGACATTGAAGTTGATAATAAGATGATCCACTTCAATACTCGTGTTGGGGAAGAAAATATTTCTGAAACGTGACTGGTAAAGAGGTTGGGGCGAGCGGCGTCACGCGTATTAGTACTATTAGTATACGTCACGTCACATCACGTCACGTCGCGTACAATAACAGCTACCGAACGCACGTGTCGACCACAGTACACATGATAAGAGTAGCTTGCTTTCAAGACATGTTAGAAAAAAAAGAGAGGAAGAAAGATACTAAAGAAATGACACTCGAAACCTCAGCAGAACGGAAATAGGTGATATTTATATGGTTATGGTCAATGGTCATGGTCATGGAATACAGACAATACGTCGCCACAAAATGATACATAACGATGAACATAATGAAGTATTACATCGATCGAATAGTGAATCGTTTCAAAAACGAGTATTCATCATGGACAAGTGCTCAAAGCGAAAAAGACATGCGCGCGCTGTTAACAGAGCTTTTTTGTAGCTTTTAATGAAAAAACCTTAGAAAACACTCGCGGCGATTTCAAGCAGCTTTCGATAATGAAAGAGTGCGGTTTATAAGTAACTTGCACGTACCCTATTTGTCGTACTTTTACACCTAATTTATCCACTGATGTTGAAAATGCAAAAGTAACTCTGTCTGTAACCTTTTTACGCTTAGACCGCTTAACCGATTTAAGTGAAATTTAATATGGAAATAGTTTGAGACCCCGGGAAAACATGGGATAGTTTTTATTCCAGTTTTGAAAGGGAAACCGTGCGCAATCAGCTCTTTTTGTGATATACCAAAATTCTCGCATGCGAAAGGGCAAATATTACCAAAAATATACCGACGTGAGTTGCTCCACTATACTGTGTTATCGCCTGCAAGGCTGACAGTGGAGCCTGAACAATGGCTCCTCATGATTGACGCCCGCTCCAATTCCGCAGGTGTGGAATATCATAATGAGGCCAGAGCTGCCGTATCACGTAATACACATTATGGAGCTATTTTCGCAGTTAAGTTTATATTGAAGGAATTTCTTGAAATAGTCGCGGCTAATCAGTATGTCTCATCATTTATAGACTAGTAGAATCTTGTACTATCTCTTGACACGATTATCGTATTATGATAAACAAATTACTCTCCATTTAGACACATAGCATTACATTTATTGAGGCGTAATTCCCTAAAATCAGAGCTTTTCGTCCATTACACAGAAGATAATTAGCCAAACCTCCACTTTCTGTCCCTCGTCCGTGTCAAACGAAGTTATTGAGGGTAGTCCGGCGGCCAGCATATCCCTTACGTGTCGCTGCGGGGACGATAATCTAGTTAGCTCTCCTAAAAGGTTCGTTATGTGTTACTACTGCTTTATTGTGCTCTCGTTTATGACACAATATTGTTATTAATGCCGTGTTTTTCTGCTGATGGAGTACATTATTTTTATACGTCTTTAATTAAATTTTAATTCATGTTAGATAGACGTGCAATGTTACTATTAATAGAATCTAAATTAAGTTAAATTTTAATTGACAAATCACCGATTACTTTACAATTTTACTAGCCGTGTAACTGTACCTTCAGCTGTCTTAAGATTTTGGAATGACCATTTAATGAGGGCTATCGTTTTTATACTTAACAGTTTGCACCCCTGGCGATTGACAGGACCTTACTCTACAGTGGCGCCAACTGGTGAGCGCTAAAACGATAGCCCTTATTATACACTGACGTTACTAGTAAAACCTCTCAAATAACCTATGACTCCCGCGAGCCTACTAGTCCATGTCCCATCTCGAATGCGTCGGAGCAGCGGCTAATTGGCGGACCTCCGGCGCGTCCCCCGATCAGAATTACGAGTGGAGCCCTCATGCACCGAGTGCCAGTTACGAGGATCGCAATAAAATCGATCGGGGGGCGACGAGGCAAGGACATTCGCACATGCAACCGTTTCTAGGCTAATCGGTAGCTCGTAATTTCCACCTGACTGTTGGCAAGGTCTATGGATTTCAAGCAGAATATCTGAAATTGTTGGAGGACGTACACTTAAAACATGGAGTCTATTTCTTCAAAATGTCTCAAGTATATTAACCGCATTATTAACTAAATGCCACGATGACATAATCATGACGACGTCATGTTTTCCAGAAAATGTTAGAACGTGTTTTATGCCTTTCAATTGATTAGTCACCGTACTTATTATTGCATAGAACCGTAGATCCCTTTATTATGAATGGCGAGTTTTTAAAATCACATTTTCCTCTGCCAACCCCTATACAGCCCATATCCACTCAAAGCAAAGCATGCCATTACGGCCTTAATACATAAGTCGCTCCAAATCCTGGTGCCATGAAACTTTTGACCCAGTTGCGAACATGTGATTCATTTCCAGCCGAGCTTATCTCGCTACAACTCGTTTTTACACATTATAGAGCTATAATTTCTTGAAAACTTGACCTAAAACTTCTTCCATTTTACGGGACCTTGATTAGAAATACCAAAGTTGCTAGATGTTACATCATTAGATCCGTTTAAGGAGTGTCAAGGCCCCGTAGTATAAGAAAATTACACAATCGACGATGTAGCGAAGTCTAAAATATTACTTTAAAGCTCAATGTTAATCTAATGTAAATTGCCTTGTTTATTGGAAAGGTACACACACCCTGTCCCTCATACCCTCCCGCATGGAGGTAAGTTTAATTTTGAAACGTCGGAGATTCGTGCGGTTGTCATTAGTAAACTTTTTGTGTACCTAGCGGAATTTCATTTAACATTTTGATAACAGGTTTTGGAGCTCGAAAGTATAAATACTAACTAGATATTTATGTAATTAGTCTGTACAAATTGGAAACCTGTTTGGAATGTGCTAAGTTATGTTGATGAAATCATAATCATTTTAATGGATGTCTCGACATTTCTTTGCAATCAATCTATCGTAAAATTCGGGTTTGCATATTAGATGTAACTTTGTACATTCGCATTTTTTTATATTATGCAGCTCGAAGGACTACCTATCTAATAACAATGGCTGATGACTAGTCCAAGCGCTCAAATATGGTAAAAATTGAAAACAATTAGTTTCATTACCCAATCCAATGCCAAGTTTGCTGATCGTCAAATGCGTCGGCGA